TGTGCCTGGTCTGAGTCTTGACCGAGTTCTGGGAGGAGTCTATCTAGCTAGAGTGTAATCCACCTCTATTCATATTTTAATATAAAGGAAGAGAGAAAAGTTGTTATTCACCTTCAGCCGAGGGACCATGCAGAATGTTAGACTAGGATTTTTTTTTCCAGATCGTCATTACAAGCATCATTTTCTCCAGTTTAATTATTTTCAGATTCCCTCATCTATACCCTTGCCAGTGTCCCCACGAGAATAAAAAGCTAGCAGTTTTACAAGCTCCCACCTATTTAACTCCCTAACTAGCCACCAGAATAGGCAGTTGTTCTTCTATCACTGCAATATAATTAGTTCCACTTTTCAAGGGGCAACTAGTCTCTGATCTGCTCCTAAACTTAGTTTTCCTGCATGACCACACAGAGCACATTCACTGTTCCAGCAAATTAGCACCTGTCTGCACAGTTTTATACAATCTCCTATAAATGTCAAATCCATCCAATCTTGCCTTCTGTTTTGCTTGCATCAGATTTCCATATCTTAAATGTAGCAAAACTTACTACATGTGCAGTATTTACCATGACAGGAAACATCATGACATAAATAAAATAGCACTGCCACCACTGTGTTCTGCGTCAAAACAGAGACAGTTCCTATACTCCATTTCTAGCAATTGTAATACTTGTATTTTTGTGAGACTGGGATGCATTGAGTGAAACACCTCAGGTATTCAACATAATTCTGTTTCATGTGGGTGAATTAGGATTCAATTATTAATCAATTTTGACCTCCGCACCTCCCAACAGGCTCTCAAACCTAATGAGGAGAGGAAAGCAGGAAATTATTGATTGAAGCTAATGTAGCTTCCTCTCAGATCCTGAATTCTGGGTTAAATAAAATCAATTGACACCTACATGAAAGACATGTTAAGTATCATGTATGAACATTACATCAAGATGGAGTAGAGAACACTGAAATGAATACTTGAAAAAGAAAATACCGTGTGTTAATTAGTAAAATGATGCCTATTCCTAAGATGTGTCAAAGAGCTCTATAAAATGGTAAGAAAAGCTAATATGAAGGATTATTTTTCTAAAGAAGCTGATTTTAAAAAAATAAGATTTAATTCCTGATGGTTATCTATAGGTGAAAATATTAATACTTTATTAATATTGTGTAGAAAATGACAGGTTTTCAAGACTGGACTCATATTTTAGCACTTCAGTGAAAGGTATTTCATATGGTAAAGAATAATGACAAAATGCAAGAGGAATTTTGCATTTTAATTACTGACCTGACCTTGCAGTAATACCTCTTGTAAAGTACAATACTGTACATACATAACTAGTAAGCTGCATTTCTGCCTCTCCTGTAACTTCCAATATTTAAACCATTCCTGTTTGGACTATTCATGGGTTATAGTTATTCTGATGACAATACAGATTGCTTTATCTTATGAAAGTGATGTTATGACCTGCTCTGCAAATTGTGATCTAAAAAAAAGAGCATCTATTGTTTATCACCGATTAGAAAATGGAAAAGAGCAAAAATGTGTAAATATTGTATCACACAACCACTTCTCTTGCATTTATGGGAATAAAACTGCACCTCAACCAGATATTTCTACAGTTAGGTAGCTGTCAGGTCCAACAGGTAAGTAATCTGTATAAGGATCAGGCTTGAGAACACAGGGAACCCTGACACCATTTTTTCAAGCTACACTAGAAAACTACTACCATTAAGTGAATGACTGGAAGACAGTAAATCCGAGTTCCTCATGCAAGCTGAATATCTCCAAAAAACCCCCCACCTTTGCCCTTCACGTTCTACGGAGACTAAATCCTGAACTGAGCTTCCAGCTTTCTGGTGTTTGAACCCACCTGCCTCATTTCTTATGAAAGGACACTAGTCAATATATCACTGGAAATCAGAACTGATTTTGGTAATCAACTCTCAGGACATTCTCTAAAAAGCAATCTCAACAAGTGCAATTTCAGACAATGCTTGTCAAGTTTAAGAGCCCTTAAATTACCCACTCTATTTTCCATAATATTTGACACTCAGAATTCAGCCCTTCAGAAAATTTATAGTATAACTGGATATACTCAAGAATGATCCTCAATGTGAAATAGTGAGCAACCTGTAGGTGGATACCATGGAATCTATTGCCAAGACCTTACATTGTTAACTTTATTAAAGAATTCCACAAGGGCTCTCTCTTATCAGATGTTTCCATAGTCTTACATTGTGCCTTATTAACTACTGCTTGGTCATTGTGACCTTCAGTGCCTTATACTAATTATTAAAGATCTGAAGTCTTATTCTGTTCCCTTTACTTCGCAAACTGTCCCATTAAAACCATAATATTCAAAGAACAAAGCCAGAGTAATCAAGCTGTTGATGTAATGAACTTATCAAAAATGCTTCTGAAAAGATAGTATTAGAGATTGTAGGAAGCAGAAAATCTAGTAGATGAATTACCAGTAAGCTTTTGAGATGAGTAATGAAGTTCAAAGCCTTTCACCAGTAAGTGTGGCAAAAACACACCATATGCCTCCTTCATAAGAAAGCCCTTATTAGTCATTTTGATGGAAAGAATGCTACAGTATAGTCTCATAAATCCAGACATCAAAAATCCAGAATTATTGAAAATCTGGCACTTTTTAAAACTACACTCCATCAGAGAATAGCAGCGGCTGGTCCCGGAGCAGCAGAAGGTGGAAACTTGCATGCAGCGGCTGCCGCCACCATTCATCACCCTGCACCGCCACTCCATGTGTAGCCACTGCTCCAGGACCAGCCACCACTACCCAACCCCTTCCCCCGCCGCTCCAGTTTAAAAAATCCAGAATTTTCACATTTCCAGAAGGTGCTCAGTCCTGTGCATGCTGGATTCATGAGGTTATACTATATTTAATACAATGAATGGGGAGAAGTTTCTAGAGGATTAAAAAGACATTTATAACTATTGACCTTTTCCCTCCATGTAGGAAGTAAAGGAATTCCTATAATGCTTGCAGTTATCACTTTCCTAAAACATCTTATAGGTTTTCAAAGGTTTTTTTTACCTTCTTCAATCCTGAATCCAAGCAAATGTGGACTGCAACTGTCCCAAACCACATTCTGTAAACCAAGGCTTCCAAAGGGTGGCCTGCAAGGTGGTTAACATGCAACCCATCTGTCCCTGCAGTCACACATCTCCACTGCCGTGCAGTAGAGGGCAGAGAGGTGAGATATCATGGAAGGGGGCTGGGGAACAGGGGCAAACAGCCTGCTGTAAGCAAAAGGAATACGACTTAAGAGTGCTGCAGGTATTGCCGTTAGGTAAGAGAATAAAGTCTAAACTTTATATTTTTAGGAGTAATTAAAGTGCTAACATTAACAGATCCCATTAGGACTATGCAGGGAAAAAATGAACTGCAAGAAGTAACATACAGATAGTTTGTAGCTTTTGTTTTTAGCTAACAACTTGACCACTTAATTTCAAAAGTAAAGGATTACAGAATGCATATGCTTTCTTTGGCTGTACAAAAATGGTCTAACCTCTTACAATAGTCTACTGGTTTCTTCTGTTTTGTTTTTGGAAGCAAAAAGAGGAATCACACTACCCTGTCCCTAGCAACCACAGATAAAGTGGAAGCACTTTTCTTTCGATACACAAAATTAGACCCTACCGCTTTAAAAGCTGAGCCAATTTAACATTGAGCATCCTTAACTGCTTCACCAACATTTTTCAATGATGGCTTGATAATACAAAACCCACATTTGCCTTCACAAAGCCTACCTTGTATTTTCAAAATGAGTAACTGAATGTGTGTTGACTTGTCCAATTTGCTAACAAACTGGCCCACACAATTTGCAATACTGGGTAAGGTTGTCCACTAAAAAAAAAATCCCTTAAGCTTTCAAAGAAACAACTGGGAGCAAGAGAATTTTAGAAACTGTCTCAGAAATTATAACAGGGACAGATCTGCTCTACAGAGTAGTAACAATAGTGAAAGCAAAATATAAAAATAGAATATATGCAATGTCCTATATTTAGCTTTGTGGGTAGGCACTGAAATCCGCTTTGAGATGTCTTCTTTGATAGGCAGTGCATGAGAACAAATTCTGATGCAGTGGTAGGGAATTCTCAGCAATGGTTTTATTTGAGGACCCAAACTATTATGCAAGTCATTTTTCAAAGGCAATACATGAATTTATTACATCTCCATATTGTTGTTGTTAGGAGTCTGGATCAAAACCCAACATTTTATGTCAACTATTTTTAGCAGGAGTCTTATTTCATTTTTCCTAACTGTAATATGAAAGCTTACCAATAAGTTTACATCAGCAGACTTACAAGGAAGACTGAACCATTGCTAATGTATTTCTTAGTTGTAACACAGCAGTTTGCTTGATTCACAAAATGATTTCAAAATGAAATATTTTCATGCATCCTCTACATCAGCATTTTTGCAGGCTGTACACTGCCACTGCATCTGCAGTGAATCATAGAGAATGATAATTTTAAGAGAAAGGAATACTATGTATGTACACTGTATATAGACACTAGATTCCAATTATATTATTAGCTATTTTTTTCCCCAAAACACACTGATTTTCATGCAGATGCAGTCACATTTGCCTTACGGAGGCATTAAACCTTTGGGGCTATTTTTCAGCAAGCATATCTATGATTTTATAAAGAATTAGAAAGGAATAAGAAACCCTAGCTAGTTCATGGGCTATACTGTCATTCATAGTATACTAATATAATACCATTAGCATCTCAGTTGCATCCCCAGCCTAACATGGTCACTAGAAAGTGCCAACTGATTGACTGTCCTCTGAAAAGATTTATGGTATTAATGAGTAATGCCCTGTTTTAGGGATTTCAATTCCTGGAAAAAACTAATCTTGCTGATACATGTAAAGGTGTCTGAATTGTAAGCTTTGGCATTGGAATAAACACAGAAACTTGATACCCGATCTTGTGTTGCCCAAAACTGATTGAATGGATCTTTGCCTCTTACCATCCACGCAGGCTGGCCTTGCTCTTGTTGTACCGGCAATCTGTCCTTTTTTACATGCACAGCGAGCTGTTTGTCGGGCTATAGTCCTTCGGGGCTGACTGCTATCTCTGTCCAAAGTAACAATCTCACATGTACCTGCAGCCAGTTGACCTGGAAAAAGAACCAGCAACAGGTACCAGAATCACTGAATGCTCTACAGGCAATCTATTACAGCTGAATAGAGTCATGGCCCAATGTCAGAGTAGACACTTCACAACAAATGAGAAGCCAGCTGATGGATATAATAAAGCTGAGATGACAATTTTTCTTTGTGGTGGACATATGAAAACCTTGCAAACTGTCAGAAAATGGTTATTGTTCTATAAAAGCAGGAGAGCTAGGGTCAAATGGGTTACTTTTACTTTTATGTGGGCTGGTGTAAAGGAACAACCCATTTTTTGCAGCAAAGAAATTAAACGTCACACTGTCTGTACACTTGCAGAGAAGAAATGTGCCAAAATACAAAAGATGAAGAAAAATTTGAAATATCGGACAATAACTTCCTTCTTAAAGGAGCCACACTTGTAAATTTAAGTTGTCATTTTTTAAGATGTAGTTTTATAACAAAACATTGGAATGTTTGAACAGATTTTCATTCAGTCCTTAATTTTTGCACCTCTTCATCTAAATACAATACACTTATGTACATATTTCTCATTACAAATTAGCTAAGGACCCTTTAAATGTTAAATATGCCATCAGCTTGCAAACCGTAGCTGGGAAACCTTATTTAATAGCCAAGTATTATTGCTTCTTTTGACTTATGTTGCTTTCCTAAATATTTCAGATTTGATTGATGCTCTAGACCAGAAAGATACAGAAAACCTTTTTGGTGAATATTGTGCCAAAAGTTAAACTTGTACACTTAAAATAAGGCATTTCTTTTGAAAATGTGAATTGTCCAGCCAATAAAAAAAAGTAACTGTCAATTTGTCTGAGCAAGAAATATGTACTATGGATATTACATTGGTTAATAAAATTGAAAAATAGGCCATCACTCTTAACTGAGCTGGTAATGTTATTTATCTCATCTAGAATTTATATGGCACAAGATATCACTTTTATTGAGGCCTGTACCTGTTTGCAATCAATTACAACCATTAGGTGAATGTGTGAAAAAATATGCTTAAACATCACAAGCTAACTACATCTAGTTCTCATAAAATTTCAAGCATGGAATAAATGTTGATGTGGTGATTATAAAGATGGACTGCAGTTTAAACAATATTTGTGGCGAACTGGTTTTAAGACTACTGAAATCTTAAAATCTTTCTTGTTTGGAGGGTTTTATGGTGTAAGCTATACATCTGAGCAAGCAGTTAAAATACAGCAAAATCTAATCTTTAAACTACTAAGTGTTCCCCAAATCAAATCCTTTATTTCATAGAAAAGACAGCAGAAAGCAATTAGATATACATTCCAAGGAAGTAAAGTCAGAACATGATTGAAATAATATTACCATAAACTGTATTTTTTTATTCTGCACATAATACAATTTTTACCCAGCAGATTCTTGCCCTTAGTGCTTTTAGGCTTATGATATTTCCTATTCCCTCAGGAAATGTGAGTATATTTTTAAAATAGTCAGAGGAGCAAAATATTGATGGCTGCCATCCAGCTATAGGGACCGATTCATCAAAGTCACTTATGCTATATGTTTCTATAACTTCACAATTTCAATAGTTTATACCTGTGTAAAACTGAAATAACACTGTGACAAAGTCAGGATTATAAACTCTAAAGATTTCTACATATTAATATACATCTTTTTAGAGGTTTTAAAAAGCAACTATCACCATAGTAATTAATGTCTATCAGGTGATTATACCAGCATAGAGAAGTCCTTAGCAGAACTTCTGAATCTCCTGTTTCCCCATTTCCTGTTTACAAGATGTCATGCATAAGGCGCACATATTTGTTTTTAAATTATTCCTTTTATTTTTTCTGCTTCTTTTCTTTCCCTCACTCATGACTCCAGTTAGTCATGGAAGTGTTATCAAAAGATATGGAACTGATTTTCCTCCACAAAAAACATTTAAACAGAGCGGGATTTCTTTCCGTATCTCAGATGCCTCATCCTGGCCTCTAGTATTTGCAATATCCCAGACGAACATAGCTGCCTTAATGTGTTATCTGTAGAGGTGCAATCATTGATGCATCTGGATTGTGACGGCCTGTGGTCTTTAAGCATCATGACTAAAACCTTGCAGTAGCAACTAAGATGGAACTGTAATCAGCAGAGAGGTTGAAGCAGAAAACAGGAATGTTCATAGTAGCCCATCCAACTGAGAAGGCAGCACAATGGATCTTGTTGAAATAATAGGAATTTAGGAATTTCAACATTAATTCTACCTTGAGCTCAAGATATAGCAGATTACTAGAACCAAGCAATGACTGCTAAAACTGTCTGGGACAAAAGTATAAAATTTCTTTGCAAGCTGAAGATGAAAGAAGGCTACCTGGTGTTTTAAACTAAGATAAGTATCAAAAAGGACCATGAGGCTTTTTTGAACTAGGATAAAATCAAAGCAAACACCTTCCATGGGTTGTAGGCCATTGCTATGGTTTTAGGAAACATTTCTCCTTTAAAAAAAAACATCGTTGTTTTGGTCTTGCTCAGGTTCAGTTTGCACCAGCTATTTTTCTTTTATAAAGGCTATGTTCTCCTCTAGGCACTATGACATCTTTCTGTTATTACAGTCTATGGAAATACATGAGATGTATAATTGGTTGTCAAATAGTAGGTATACTGCTGTAAGCAGAGTTTGCGTTTCCACAGGGCTTCCTGAAGCAGCGGGGAAAAAAAGAAAGATTCTTCCATGGATGAGGGATTTTGGTGAAAGAGACACCTTTTTTTGTTTTGTTTTTTTATTGGCATTATCTGCTCCTGCCAGAAAGGAAGCTAATCAGCAACACATTTTGTTCAATTGTGTCAAAGGCTGCAGGGAGAAAAGCAAGTAGACTGAACACTGAGAATGGTCTCCATCCATTCGCATTTGCATGTTAGTGCTTTCTCTGATTGTGAAGTGTAAAGGATATTAGCAGAGATCACACAATATTCAAGCCAAACTGATAATTTTATCTAGGGATATAATGGTGAAAATGGTGCAGTAGGGAAGACCTTCCTTATACATCAAGTATAAATATAAAGAATATTTAAGTGATATTGGAGAATATTGCATTTCTCAAGGATGTTAGCATTGGTACTATGCTGAAAGAAATTGATAGTCAGAAAGATACTGCATCAGTAAAAGCTAGATGTCCCAGGCAAATCTTGAGTACTTCTTCAGACAGCAACTCCCTACTACCTGGTCCCAAGAGAAAAGCATGGGTAAAATGCTAAAAGCATCTTCTTAGAATCTTGTTTTTCTGCATGCTCTTCTGAAGATTTTCTTTTCCTAAAGGGAGAGGTCTACCTGCATTATTTACTGTATGGATTGTAAAGGCTCTTACTAAGCCATAACTATCTGCTTTATATGTCTTTCTACTTCAAGGTTGGTAGGGAGAAGTGGGGAGAATGTTTTCTTTTGCTGCTCTGATTTCGTTTATTTTAAATAAAAGCAAAGATGGAAGTTATTTGATTTTTTTTCTGGTCTTGTGGTTACTAAACAATACAGACAGGTATAAATGAATATCTGCCTTTTGTGATTTTGTACTCTGTTCCTGTAAAACAGTATACTTGTATACACACTACACGCACACAGAAGGGAAAAATAAAAGAAATCAAAAGGGTTTTGAATTAAGATGACACTAAATAAATATATGACCTGTTTATATATGCGTGTATACATGTATGCATATATACATGTAGGCAGTGTATATGTATATAGGCGTGTCTGTGTGTGTTTATTTAGAATTACCATTAACATCAACTAATAGTTGAAAAAAGAAAAATTCTCTTCTCCCCCTACCCTTATGAAATAGTAGATATGGAAGACAAAGAGCTCTAACTTATACAGTGGGTGCGTATATATCTGCAATTAGTATGACACAAATTCCAGTGCAGATCACACTAGAGTCAGCTGCTCCCAAGCATGGCATCTGTATGTGTATCCAGACTGCAGCAGTTTGAATCAGGATGGAGCAGCCCCAGGCTGGCAGGAGGTCTGGGGGGTCAGCCTCAGGCTCTGGGTGGTAGCACTGAGTGGCAGAAGAGCTGATTGGGGCACGAGGGTGCTACAGTGTAGGGCTAGGAGACAGGCAGTCACCACACTGTAGCACCCTTGTGCCCCAGCCCCAGATTATACCCTCATGCCCCAGCCCCAGGTCACTGTCTATACATGTGTTAGGTGCAGTTATTTTTGCCGCTGCAGGATAGTACCATCCCTGACAACACTATCTTACAGCAGTGAAAAGTACTCTACTGTCATCTAATAGCATTGCACATGTAGACTGTGATGCTTTCACAGAGTGTAAGCCTACTGCTCAGTTAAGCACATGTGTAGATGCACCCAGTCGTAATGGACAGAACCAAACTTTTGTAATATGTTTGCTGTCCTTCATATCATATCCTCCAAAATGTATTTCATTAATTGCACATGTAGAGTTTCCAGGATGATCCATTTAATTTTAGATTTCTGTGGAGAACAACATTTCTCTTCTCTGCTACAAAATAAAACATTCTGGTTAAAGAAGGTCTGCTCCAATTACAACAAATGTAATATAGTTATTATGAGTTTCTAACTTATGCATGCTGAAAAGCTGAGGACTTCATTTATCCCTGTCTAAAAAGCAGGAATACAGGTGAAGAAAAA